CATGTGTTTCATGCAGCCAAGTCTCCTCGAGGGCAGTGGTGAATAATAAACATCATCTTTAATCCACTGAAACTCCAACTGACTGACAGCTGAACCATCTGAGAGCCACTAGAGAGCGTTATAAAGCTGCATTGCATGTTATCATATTAAATCACTGAGGAATCTGCATCCTGGTTTAATGTGTACAGGGGGGCAGATGAAATTTAGTGCCTGTTATCACAAACAGGAGGCAGCAGTATAATGCTTTAATGCCCAGCTGATTAATATGCCCTACTAAATAATATGCACGCATAAGAATGCTCGCTGGTACATTTTATTGATTTGTTTTTATTACCCGCTGTGGTTTTGCAGATGGCTTTGCACAGCTTGGCCATAATGTGGCCCCAATCATTTCCCAGCTGGGCTTCATTTAGATTGAGGTTCCTCCCTTAAATGCAGCATCTTTGCCTTATACATAAATGATGCAACTGCATTAGTGTCAAGTTAATTAGTATTCACATTGGTTGCCAGAGTTTAGCTTTTCTTTATGGATCTGGGTTCAGATAGTTTGCAAGCATATTGTTATTAAGATTAAGATTGAACCTTACTGAAACATGATTATTCAATGGATAACAATGCATTCAACTCACAAATGCAATTTCACAATACTGGGTTCATGATTTCCTCACCCTTTTTCAGTTTTCCCACGCATCTTGGAAAACTTGAACATTTAGAACCTTGTTTTCCAGTTATGGAAACACCTGGAAATTGATTAAAATGACCACATATCCTTAAAATCATCTATGTTGTCCTGGAAAAATTGAATAGCATTTCATCCTATGCTGTGCCCAAATTAATGTTACAGTGAGAAGAAAACTGTTAGTTCACAAAAAAAGTTGAAAATCGGCTTGTCCGTTATCTTCTCACTTTTTTTATTTTCGGACTCAGGGAGACCAAAAAGCTTCTGTTAAAACAGGATGGTGTAGCCTCAGTTTCAAATAATTCACGTGCACCTGCACGTTTTTTGACCCAGCTACTGATGCGAATGATGATGCCTAATAAGCAAAGTCAAAAGTAGCTAGTGCCCTCTGCTGTTTAAAAAGAGGAATACTGTTCACCAATTTAAATCTTCACATATTTGTATCACAATTTCACAATATATTGTTACATTTAGGGCTGTCCCTTAAATGGCATCAGGGTTGGGAAGGTTACTTTAAAAAAGTAATCTGATACAGTTACTAATTATCTGTTAGAAATGCAGTCAATAACCTAATCTAAATATCACAAAACTATTGTAATGTAACTTGATTACTTTTGGTTTACCTCAGCACCAAATATGCAAATAATCCCCGGCTCCTGGCGCCACATGTCGAAGTATCCTTGAGCAAGATACTGAACCACGAATGCCATGCATCGGACTGTGAATGTGTATTAGTTAGTTAGTTTGATGGGCTTTGCCATCGCTGTGTGAATGTGTGTGAAAGGGTGAATGTGGCAGAGAACATGCTCCACACAGAAAGCAAAGTGTTTGAACCCAGAACCTTATTAACTACTGCACCACTGTACATATGCATTGCCAAATGTTAGTTTAATATCAGTTATCATGTATAAATGTAGTCTACTAGTCACATTTTCTTTCCGATCACACAAGAAGAAGCAAACAAAAGAGGGGCAACAAAAGCAATCTCATTTCCACAGGTCAATATGATGCTGCAGTTCTATTTTAGAAATTCAGAGCCAACAGTCTCCATCAGTGGTGAGCAAAGCTCTCCTTACATCACTTTTGCAAGGGAAATGCAGTTTAAAATGATTGTTCACCTCTCAGGGGGGTTGAGCACAAGTTGCGCTGACATACAACTGTATGATTTACAGTAAAGGTGGTTAATAATCCAGTTTTAACTGTAATTGATCTCTACACAGATGATACACAAATATCTGCAGAAAACAAACATAAAACAATAGGAACACATCACTGTGACATAAATCGAATTGCTGAGTGTGGCACTTCTACAATAATAACCAAAGGTAATATAATTTACAGCTGACAGGACTCAGGAGTGTGACTGGCTGGACAACCTCTACTCCTCAGCAAGGTCAGAGATGTAGTCTCTCCTGGTTGGTCCTCAGAGCAGTACAAAGACAGATGTGGTCAGCTGTACTGAGAGGCTCAGGTGTGGCCCTGTGAGACACAATCAAGCAAAGCAAAAGTGAATCATGAAGCTGTGAGAAATAAACATTTGGATTAGGAGTATTTATTTTAGATGTTAATGTAGTACAACCACAGTCTCAATTACAGTCATTTTATATTATGATGCTTTATACCACGGGGTTTTGCCTTTATTATATTGAACAGCTGAAGATTGACAGGATATGGGGAGAGAGAGAGAGAGAGAG